TCTGCGAAAAATATTTAATATTTTCTGCGAAATTTTGATAACTTTTGAAGGAATAACGATTTTCTGCCGAAATTTCATCCCCCCGCACTCCTGAAAACAATCGACAACCCTGGTGTGGGTGTGGGTGTGGGTGTGGTATGGATGTGGGTGTGGGTGTGGATGTGGATGTGGGTGTGGGTGTGGGTGTGGGTGTGGGTGTGGGTGTGGGGTGTGGGTACGGGCGAATGATGGAAAGTTGAACACTAGCCGACAATCTCCTACATCCACAGCTATACCACATACCTATACTCACACCCACAACTACAAGGGTGTGGGTGTAAGAGATTGCTGGCTAGTGTTTAACTTCACCTCATCCACCCACACCCACCCCTAGTTTTCTTTTGTTGGTGATAAACTAGTACACATAGTGCACAAGCAAGGGTCGTCGATTTTGGCTGAACTAGAACGATTTTAGTTGAACACAAAGGGAGTTTTTAAAGAGATAGTATCATTAATTGTGGTGGTAACTTGTTATTTCTTCCGTATATGATGTGAGCGGAGCGAGCTGCATTCTTCAAGAGAAGACTATCATTAACATCTCTCTTTCTGAGCTCTCATTTTTAGAATGTTATTTTCTCTATATTTGTTGTTTGTGTATAAGTGCTTTTGCGTCTTGATCAGTGATCTCCACTCAATGCTCGATTTCATTTTACTTTCATAATTATATAGTCTATTCAAACTTAAAAACACCCAATGATATTTAAAGTAACAGCGACGTCTGATAAACTCTATAAATTGCAGTCAATTCAGAATATAAAAAAACGCTACTATATTTTAGCGCTCTCTACAAATTACAGGCCATTAGAGGGAAATAATGAAACTCAATCTTTGGCGAATTCTATACATTTCAACAAGTTTCAAAATATAAGTGAAACTTTAATTTCTTTTAAAATTGTTATCAGTAAAGTTTTTGAAATTTTACTAATCGAAAATTTAAAACCCAAAATTGTTTCAAATTTGAATACATTAAATTTAAAAAACAACTGAAATTGAATTTTACAGATTTTTTATTTCGATTTTATGTTCGCAAATGAGAGGACACGGTCCCTTTCAGCAAGGATGCAACCGGTCGGAAGTAGCTTAGATTTAGAACACCTAGTTTTGGTACAAACACGCACAGATTATGATGCCAGCTTTTATTTATGAATATAATATAACTAGAAATAATATAATAATGAATAAGGAAGAGTGATTTCATATAAAAATGAGTAAAATTTCGAAGTTAGCAATTACAGTTTGTGCATTTGGACACTAAGTTTGAGACAACGTTATAGACTCTATGAAGTCCCAAATATATGGCAACAAATTTAGCTGACAGATTATCTAAATATAACATTATACTAGTAAACACACCAACACAAATAAACGGGCCAATAAGAACGACTGAAAGGATTCTAAGTGCAAAACAACATTTATTTTTACAGCATCTACTGTCAAGACATACATAGTAAGCGGGAAAATATATTTGTGCAGCAATAAATCCAAATAGAACGTAATACAAAATATCACCTAAATTTGAGCCAAAGCTTCTTTTCGGTATTTTTAATGAGTACCAGCAAGGTTTGCTAAAATCAATAAGCCATATGACTTGCGTTACTGGTAAAAATAATGCAGTGTTAACTATCTTATAGCTTATTGCAACTTCGATTTTAGAAAATTTTTTTCTTCACGAATATCTGTATACCTTTGATAGGCTTCATCATATCTGTAATTATTTTGACGAATTTGTAGCAATAATTGGTGCTCTTCTGTTTGTTCAACCTTTCGCTGGTATTCTTCACGAATAATCCTTATAGTTACGATAATGTCTTTTATATCGATAATCCAAAATATAAAAGATATTAGGAAACAAATCCAGAACATTGTATAAATAATGCCTCTTCGGCTATCTAAACCACTAACTAATTCTTCAACATCAGCCACCCTATTGTATTCTGCACTATTTTCAAAATTCGTACATTGCGACAAATCAACACTGGATAAATGGAATGCATATGTTAATTTTATAGCATATAAGCCGGTACTGGTTGACAAAGGTAAATATTTTGCGTTGCGTAAGTGAGCAAATTGTATTATACTCCAAGTAAAACCTCCAAATGTGAATAATGCCCAAATAATATTTATTAAAGTCATAAACTTGAACATTTTATCGCTTTATTGGAATTTTAACTTAGTCTTGTTTTTGAATAAAAAGATAGAAGATAGGAATGACTTCGATAAAATGCGAAAGGATGTGTTCGTCATATTTGTTGAAAGAGATAGCAGTTTATTATCATAAATGTAGCATTTATTTTGATGACACACGTGTTCTCATTTCACAAGGTGTGGATATTTGGTGGGGATGGGAGTGTGGCTGTGAAATGTGGATGTGGTGTGAATGTAGGTGTTGGGTGTGTGTGAAAGTGTGGATGTGGGTAGGGATGCAACGATGACGATAACCATTGGTACAGTTACTGGTCTAACTAAGATAATCGTAGGTATGATTATCGGTTAAAACCTAAATCGGGGTTGAGAGATACGAATCTGAAGTCGGCTTTTGATCATTTTGAGTTTTACATCTTTATATATGAGGATGAGGATGGGAGTGTGAGGTGGATGTGAGGTGGGATGGATCTGAATGTGGAGTGTAGGTGTTCATAGCAGAAAAGACAGCCACAACCACACTCACACACGATTGTGGTACTTTATACCTAGAAAATGACCACTTGCACCATAACTATGGTAATTTGTACCACGAAAATAGTCACTTGTGCCACCGCTATGGTATCTTGTACCACAAACATGGTCACTTGTACCAAGTTTTACAGACAGACACAAGTGAATTTCCGTTTCTAGAACCTGTCCTTTCAGTCTAGTAAACATTTTTTCAATTAATCATGATTTATTGGAAAGAGAATAAAACAGAACGAGACCATAAAAAATTATACGAAATTAGTTTATGCAATATTAAAGTTTCGTACTCAAGAATTTCCAAGATTGACGACAGAGCGATTACTTAGAGTGTGAGATATGGGTGTAGGCGGGTGTGAATGAGTGAAAATAACGAACGCCGACTACTAGATCCAGACCCGCACCATACCCACACCTAACCCAGTGAAAAATATGCATTGATTTCAATCGGATTTTTCTGCAACAAAATCAAAATTAAAATCGATTGATAATTTTGATTATCATTGGTAATGACTTAAGAAAGATCCAAATATAGTTTTTAGTTTTTCTGAACTGAGTTATCCAATCAATGATTTAAATGCCTTTTATCGTGCATATTGATTAAAAAAGGTTAGCTTATGATATGTAGAACCATTGAAATCGATTGATTTACTTCAAGATATTTGGACTTGACGTTTATGATATGTAGAATTTCGAGCACTGTAGATCCTTGCATTGATTCGTATTCATACCTTTTTCGTAGATTCCGTAAAAATGGTATTTGACAATTATGAAGTTCGTTGAAGATAATCAATAGCCTCCTTTTTTGTGATTATCATGTAAATTTCATGATTCCATATTTTTTAGTAATAGGATAAATTTCGATTCGTATGGTTACATTTAATGACGGTTTTGATTTTTTTAAGATTATACATAAAACACATCAAAAGATGTTTTTTTTAATTTTTGGAATGAAATAGTGATCATAAAATGTCAGTATTAAGGATCGATATTGTTTCTTGTAAAAAAACACTGATGCTGAAATGCATTCTTGAATTTTATGAATAACAGATAGGAGGGTTTGGGTGTTGAAGACAAATGCATACTCATACCCTTCCATCAAGTAACTGTACAACTTTCATTGGAAAAAAGGATTGATTCTCAGTTGTCATGTTAGGATCTGAATTCATAGTTGAATCTAATAGCGTATGTTTCAAATGAATGATATTTATGTTTAAAAATATGATATGATACAAAAAACTTTTTGCTTTGACTGTTTCTTTTCTTCTATTTCATAATTATGATAAACGTCAAGTCCAAATATCTTGAAGTAAATCAATCGATTTCAATGGTTCTACATAAAGTATTCGGTTAGATGATGACAACATGATTGGTTCTTCTTTTGATGGTATTTGCTGTTGCATAGTTAAAAGCTCATTGAGTTTGGTATCTAAAATACTTATAAGTTGTTTAGCTTCGTTGATTAGTGCAAGAAGCTGTTGGCTAAGACTCGATAATGATTCACTTATCTGTTTTTTCACGTCGTTCATATATGCTTCAAGAGTTCCTTCTATGGAAGAGTTTGTACGTGAATTTGTATTTAAACCCTTTACGATATCTTTAAGATTGTTTAATTCCTTAGTAAGTTCATCTAATTGTTTTTCCATTTCAGTCAATTTTAAGAATAGTTTACGAATTTCGTCAATGTCTAGATCTTTGAATTTCATTTCTAGTTCATCAAGTCTCTTAAGAATATCTTCAACAACAGAAATTCGCTCATTCAAATAACTCAACTTTTTCTTTAGCTCTTCTACAGTTTCACGTAGTCCATTCACTTCGTCGAGAGCTGTTTTTGCAGTATTATTAGCATTAGCAATATCCTGTGATTTTCTTTTTAAATCATCTTCAATAGAGCTAAGACGTTGTAGAATCATTGTAATATCAGTATTTTTGATATCATTAACTCTTCGTTCTAAGTTTTGAAGTGATGAAGATAAACTATCAATTCTTAAATTGCATTCCTTCAATGTCTTATCATGACCAGTGATTAAATCTCGAATTTTTTCAATTTCTTGTTCCAGCAAAGGTATTCGATCCAGTAAATGAAATCTTTCTCGAACTTGATTTAACGAATTTTTAATACCATTGAGTTTTTTTATAAATTTATTAAGTGTATCAAGATCTGAACGACGATTATTTATGATTAATTCAATATCTTGAGATAATTTTGTAAGTGTATCTCGTTGAAGAGAAAGATTAAGAATTGAAACTCCATGTTCTTCTTGTTTTTTATCAAGAATTTCTTGTTTTTTAAGTAATGTTTCTAACTTTGTTTGAAGATCTATAATTGTTTTATCAATGTTTTTTCTATATTGTTCAATTTCTATTCGATATTGTTCAAATTTTTGTTTAATACTATCGATTTCTTCATCCTGATTATGCTTATTTTGATTACAATTCGTTTCATTTTGATCGACACGTCTAACTAATGTATCATGGTTGATTTTTAGTTGACGAAGCTCTTCTTCTAATTGATGAATTCGACGTAGTTGACCTCTAAAATAAAAATTTTCATTTATTACTATCGAAAACAAAATATAAATGATGATTATTCAAATTTATTGATCTTAGTTAAATCTAGCTCGATATAATTTGGATTTGATCTTACATATAGTACATATTAATTATAAACGATTAAGGGATAGGTCATAACTATTTAATAATTTTATGAATAATAGATTGTTAAATTTCTTAGCTATCCAATTTTTAATATTTCATAAAGAGACTTACTGTGGTGTTGATTTCTGCAAATGTTCTTCCATTAGTTCCTGTAGAAAACAAACGTAATATATTGATTAGTTTTTGTTTTTTGATATTCATACTCGAATTAGTGTCCGATTATTGTACAGATTTAAATCACGTAGTTGTTTTTGATATACAGTCTTAATGTAATATATTTCAAGCATATTTAGAATAATTCTCATTTTTGTTTACATACTTCAAGTTGTCGAAGTAAACGTGCCGTTTGTTGATCCTTTTTTTCCGCTTGTTTTCGATAATCCATTTCCAATTTTCGATCAATTTCTTGAAAACTATAAAAAATTAATTATTATAATGAAGATGACAAATAAAATCACTTGATACTCGTGAACAATTTGTTCAATAAATTGTTGCCGAAATGGTATTGTATGTTGTCGATTATTAACATGTCGTCGTTGCATTGCTACGATAGGTCGATCTTCTCGTTCGAGCTTTTCTCATAAATTTCAAATTCTAATAAAGATAATAAAAAAAACAAATGACGAGCTTACTAAATCAGCAGCTCGTAATCTTTTTTCAAGAAGTCTACTATATCGATGTGAATCGAATTTATCATCATATTGAAAATGTTCATTTAAGTTACTGAAATTCATAGTTTTTAGAAGAAAACATTAATTAAAGACATTTACGCTGACTGTGCACGACTTCGACGTGCTCTTTGAGTGTTTCTCTCTTGATCAGTATTGGACATCTAAAAAAACAAAATATAATTTTAATTTATATTAAATAGCAGTTATTAATCTTGAAGAAGAACATGAATAACTAAATAAAAATCTAAAAGATAGATTTGGATATATCATTAATAATAATGTAATTACTTGACTACTCATATTACATGCGAATGCTCAGCATACAACTAAAGATAGAGTAATCTGAAGAAAAAAAATGCAGTGTTTCAGCAAGATAATATTTTAGCAACAACAATTGTTTGATATAGCTTTCGTTAGTACTTTATCAAGGTCACATAAATTTTTATATTCTTCGAATGTTCCTAATCGATAATAATATACTTTTGGATCCATCGATGACAAAGGATCTTGTTTAACTTTTTCTTTACCGTTTATAATATAAATACCAGGTTTATAGTAAAACTCATGAAGATACCATTGACTCAACTTTTCTCCTTGTTTTATTTTCTCTATTGGCGTATATGGCAAAATCGCACTTTTGTCAAGCTTCAAATGTTGAAGAACTTTTGTTTTGAAATTCGGTCTCACAGAACAGATCACTTCAGTTAGGGTATCGGCCAAATATTCTGGCTCTTTGTATTTTGCAAGTTCTAATTTCGTACAAGTTCCGTCAACAATGATTTGTAATGCAGCAGCAACACCAAAACTGGCAACTTGTTCTGCAGGACCCATCGCTTTCGTTGGAGTTTTTTTGGCAGAAGAATCGTCTTTAGTACTAGGTGCAGAAGGTGCACAACAACAAAGACAAACTTGAGAAACTTCATCGGATCTTGGTCGCAAACTTAATAATTGATCTTCATAACGATCAGCTAATTTACGAGCCACTTGACGTGCTACATCGGTCAGTTCTTCAATAGTTCCAACATTTGTGATCCATGACATTCTATTTTGGAATTGATTATATTCATGTTGTTTAAGTCCAAAGCCAGCAGCAGATGCTACAGCAGATAATGCTCCACCACCCATTGGCATCGTAGCACCTAGAGCATCTCCCAGAAGGCACACACCATTAGCTATCCTTAAAAAAAAGAGGCTTGAAAGAACATGTTTAATAGAGATAATTATTTATATTTGAATTTTACAACAATTCAACATTATCATATATGTTTTCAAACTACTCATATCATACAAAAACAAGCTAGGTCTTGATATCTAATCAGAAAAATTCAACTGCTCAGGTAACATATGTCTATATGAAAATATTGCTTACTTAAGTGTCTAGTAACAAGAAAATGAGTTCATAGTTCATAATATTTAATAATCTTAGTAATTCAGATATCTCAGATATATCTTTTTATGGTTGATCTTTGTGTCACGATACATTTTTGTCATATCTTGAAAATCTAGTAAAGTTTTAATTTCTACCAATGTAATTAATAGAAGCAGTTCAGTTTAACTCATGATAGTTGCTTTTTTAATAAAATTTGTAACAAAATTTTATTAATAAAAAGTAACAGATATATATATATATATATGTATATGAATTATAAGTAGAGAAATTAGCTACATATCTTAACCGTTAATATCAATTTAAAAGTTTGAAATACTTTCCAGAACAAGACAATGACGTTTATGAACTTCATTCATCATATGTCAAAATAAACTGAATAATGACTGAGTTTTAATCGCATAAATATTATAGAAGGAAAATGTGATGAATTAATGTTCTCGTCTGTTATATTCCAAACTTTTTTTTTATTAAAGTATTCAACAAGTTAGAGATGCAACAATGCTTACATAGTGGCAGTTCCTGTTCGATCATGTTTAACTATTGGCTCGCTTTGACTATCTCCACTTGTGATAGCCATAGCTGCGAATTTATGTGACAGAGATACACGCATTGAATGGTAAAAATGAAGACGATTCTCGTTTTTATCATGTATAAAATGTTCTTTATCAATTTTAACTTGATTGCGTTTGTTTTCAATCTTTTCCAACATGGATAATTTGTCTTTTAAAAGGCACAACAGAGCTTGATTGATCTGTTCTTCATTTGCCAGTTTTGGAGCAGCAATATTGGCAGTCATACTTGATATGTATTCAAAGCTTTTTTGCAATGAAAAGTTTTGTTCCTTTTCGAATTTCCTTATTTGATCTAATATTTGATGCCACATGTCTTCATGAGCTGAATTATTCAGATCGTCATTGAGTTGATCGAGTGCAACCATTGCAGCTCCAGCACAATTTTGATTTTGGTGCAAATTATAAAGAAGAGCAAAGTATATGGGATTATAATTATTATTTTCTTGTCCATCATAAATTCCTTTTTCATACAATAAAATCATTTTCTTATACTCTTTCTTAGATAATGACAAATTAGTCTCATCATTTGATAATGTGTATATTTTCTCATGTAATAGACTACGTATAAGATGCAATTCATGAGATATAGCATCTTGATCCAACATGGTTGACAATCGTTGTAACAGAAACTGCAATCATAGATGTGTAGAAAAAAAAATTTAAATTTAATTTTTAGATTTTCAAAGTTTTTTTTCTGATAATAAAAGCTATCTCATATTCGTATTGTATATGTATATAACAGAAAACATTTATATTCAGCTTGTTAATAGCGTCGAGATTGTACAAGTTTTCTAATTTTTTGGTAAACTCTAGTAATCAATCCCATGCTGTCACTCAAAAGTAAGCTATGAGAACTTTTGTAAGGACCATGCAATCATTTAATGTATAAATACATTTTAAAAAGTTTCAAAGATTTGGGAGAACCTACTACCACATCATAATAAAACTGCTTGCTAATAAAGGAATAAATCAGCTAGAATTAAAATTCTCGAAGATTTAAGTTTTTGTAAAAGTGATGTATCGATTATACTTTCAAAAACATACAAGGAGAAACCTTTAAATGGTCAACGAAGATGTATTCTGTCAAAAATATATTCGAAATTCAAAGTAGTTCTTTTCTCGTTGAACTGTAACAATTAAAAATATGAATATTTATCTTACCTCAAAATAATGCTTCATGGTTGCTGAATCAATATTTGCATTTTCAAGCTGGAAAGCTAATCGTTTGTCATTCACACATGCTCGAATTTGTCCCATTTTGTAATAAACTTTTCCACGTACATATAATATATCTGATTTATGGGGTGTTTGTTCATGAGCTTTGGTTAAATTATTCAATGCTTCTGTTTGTAAATCATCATTTTCACTGTCCATTATTCCTAGTCGGAATAGAGCTCGTGTATAATTTTTATCAATGTTAAGTACAGATCTAAGATTTTCCTTGGCAAGTTCTTTTTGATCGAGTGCATCTTGAGTCAAGCCGATATAAAAAATTGTATCGAGTCTTTCTCTTTCATTGGATGTTTGCTTTAGTGCTTCATTAAATTGCTGTAGAGCAGTATTATAGTTATTTAATTCATATAAAGCAAGACCATAATAAAAGTAAGTTTGAAATGTTTGTGGTGATTTATCACATTCTTCGCGACAAAATTTTGCAAAATCATCAATTATTATTTTTGCTTCCTCATCTTTTTTCAGAGAAGCTTCAGCTCGAGTCAGACAATATCGATAGTATATAGGTGGTTGTCGGACTTCTTTATTTGCATGATTTATATCTTCTAATGCCTTATTAAGTTGTTGTATCTCACTGTACACAAGACCTCGACTCAAATATCCTTTATGTTTATCGGATGGTTGACATTGCTTAATGTACATAGTGTAATCAATAATAGCTTCTGCATATTGGCCAATCAATTCACACGCAATAGCACGTTTATAATAGATATTGGAATCAATGCCAACTTGTGAAATTTTTAATGCTTGATTAAAATCTTCAATAGCTTTATATATTTCGATTCGTCCACCCAATTCAAGATGAGCACATCCTCGATAATAGAGTGAATGAAATGTAACTGGTGTAACTTTATTAAAACTAGCAATCGCTCCAAGATAATCACCTTTTGAAGCTTTCAGACGACCTTCTTCAATAGAATTTTTACTCTAAAATATTAAAAAAACTTTGTTAAATTCATGTTGTTTCACATATGAAGAATAGAATTAATGCATTTCTAAAAGCCTCAAAAACTGAGGATATAATTAAATTGTATCTAATGACAGAATAAGTCAATACTCCATTTTAATATGGATCTGGCGCAGCTATTAACGACAAGAATAGCTGAATTACTTGTTCTATCTTTAGACATTCTATATAATTTCTTGATAACTACATCTAAAGTGAATATATGTACACATTCAGTAACACTATTATTTCAAATAGTAGACATAACTAATTTTATAATAAACAAGAGTGCGTCGAAAATACGGTTTATTCGTCCTGAAAAATAGTAAAAATGTTTATACGTTATTGGCACAGAAAAGTAAGGTGCTAGTAATTTTAAAACGAAGTAAATTTTTTTTCTCGAATATTTTCATATGATTCGATGAAGCTCATTGGACTCCACATAACTGTAGATAGAAAAAAAGTTGTAAAAACATCATTTCGAAATTAAAAAACTACATGGAAAATCTTTTTAAAAACCAACGTGTTAAAAACTTCACCTAATAAATAAATATCGAAATGTCTAACATAGTAAAAATAGATAAGTTGTTTTAACAACCAATTGTTTTCCTTTCATATAAAAAAGGAAATTTTTTAACATGTTTTTTTTTAAGATTTTCTATGTAGCCTTTTAATCTCAAAATGATGGTTTACAAACTTTTTTTCTATCTACAGTTTTGTACAGCTTGACAAGCACCGTCGAAATAATTTGAAAACATTCGAGAAGAATTTACTCTGTTTTAAAATTACTGGCATCTTACTCTTTCTGCTCTAAAAGTAGAAATAACACGAAGTACTTCATGCCCCTGGTCCTGAAATATTGAAATAATACTCAAAAATCAAACTGAACGAAGATGCCATCGAATATGAAACACAATCACTACAATAAAGAAACTTTGGAAAATCTATTTCATGATCGTATTCGCCTCATCCTAGTGATGTAAAGAAATCTAATGATCATCCGATTGATTATTAGTGATATTCATCAAAATTTAAGAGATATATAGTACTTTGTGATATTCCGACTGTTGAATTAGATCTAGTTTAAACTATCTCATGAAAGTAATTTTTCATTGTCAATATGACCAACAACTTCTAGGAACATTTCGAAATAGGTACTAATAGGTTTCCTCACTTTTTACTATTTAGCATCGATAAATCCGATTTTAGATGCGGTTAAATTTTGTTATGGCTACTATTTGCAATCGTAGCGTTATCCTGCCCACTGGAAAAATATTTTTACTCACCGTATTTGTCGAATCTGTTGTTATTGGAACATTATCTGTCCTTATTGATTTGGTGTTATCTAGTTTGCTTTCATCGTCAAACTACAATAAAGTGTAAATATCAGATAATTAATGAGTACATAAAAGAACTATTAAATCTAACAAATACAAATTAAACATAGAATTCAAGAATTCTAAATAATTTTAAAATAAATTCTCATCATTTATCCTTTCATTGCTTCAGTAAATCTGCATTTTCTCTTTTTTATGAAACATCCTACAAATATACAATATATCATTAAACAACATGTGTACTGTGTACTACAGTAGAATAAGACATATTCTTCAATCAAATCGGTCGATTGTTCTACATCATATTTACTAAATAATAATTTTAAAAACTTCTTTTTATCTAAGGAGCCTGTTATCATAATTACTTCGATTACGTTACAAGAAAATATGCAAAACTAAAAAATCTTTATTTCGATAGTATTGAATACGAAAGTTTTGTGCACATAATGCTCCATAATCATGTTATTCTTTTGTTTAAAATGTCAGAAAAGAAGTTTGTATAATAGAACATGGTTTCTAAATTGTTCTGTATTTCTAAGTTTTTTTGAAATATAAATAAAAAATCTTCATATAAAATCGATTTTTTTCCCTAAATTTCTTCATTTCTTTAAGTATTTATATCTAGATTATATTGTTTACTAGATTCTGGCTATTTATCAAGAGTGTCTTATCTAGAATTTAGTGGATAATTAGGTCTGCCATACATGTAAAATGTCATTCAGTTAGATAACACGTCTCAGATGTATCACATTTCTTTTTAAATCTAAAACATTTCTATAGTAAAATTGCTTTAAACATGCTCTCTATTGGAGAATTATACAAGCCATAGAGCTGCTATGAAAAAAATTTTAAAAGATATGTTTACATAAAAAACAGAAGACATGACCGTGCTCTATTGGTATAAGTGATCGATGCTATTACTCATCTATATTTTTTTGATGTCTCAAGTACTTTTAAACAGAACTTCCAAATCATAGTTGTTAAGTTGTTTACTCTATAGATTTTCATCATGATTCATATCTATAGAGAGAGAGAGAAAGAGTGATTATTTTCTTTAAAATGTCGCAAGAATGAATAAAACTTTATCGTATAACGACTTCTATTCTAAAAAATATATAAATTTTTTTAATAATTCTTTTTTTTTTATAACAAATGAGAAATGAATTGGTATGTTGTTTTTACTATAAATATCTATTTTCATTATAAAAAAATAAAAAAACACACTAAATATTTAATATTTTATCTGTGAAATTTAAGTATGTTATGCTTTGCGCGAGTATAAATTTGTGATATACATTACTCAGCGGTTTATTGTGCATTTATACAATATCTGATCGATTTCTCACATGTTAGAATATACCATTGGTGGTGAAACTAATTATTCAGATCTCCTCACGATAGGCTAGGATCCCTATGACGTAACATAGATGAAAGATCATTTTCGATTTAAGATGCACGAATATATACTTTTCAAATTTTGAATATTTGATCCAAAATGCATGCAGATACCATTTGTTCAAAAAAAAAAGTTTAGATGGAGAAAATATTGCATGAAGGACATGTTTATTCATCCTGTTGCAAGCGCATACATCAACTTTAAATGAGACACTTTCAGGTATAAAAGAAATATTTACATGAAAGAATAGTGCATGGTCGGGATTTCTTCAGTTCTGTTTTCACATATTTTTTCCCATACTATTGGTTTATATTCTAAGTTTCAATCATTGTAGGTTTTTAGTAGTCCTGTTTGGTCCTAATCGGAATAAAGAAAAAATGATTATACTATTCTTCGTAGAATGTTGGCTTGAAGTGTAACAATGTTTGTATGATAAGTGTGGTTTTGAAGATCTTACATTTAGTCTCATAAATAATACATCGTGCACATTCAAGCTATCATACGGACATAATCTCAAAGGTTTGAAAATTCTAATTCTAATATTAATCAATATTTAATTTAGTCTATATTGTGCAATAACTGTACAATTTAGCTAATAAAAAATAGTATTGTTTTACTTTTTCTGTTGTAGCCGTCAATGGTAGTTCCATTTCTGTTGCTAGATCGTCTCGGTCAGATTCAAGCTGGACATGCACTTTGTTGTTGTTTCTATTTTTAAACACTGTTCTCATCATTTCTGCCATCCTAATTCGACACTCTTCAATTTATTAAAGATGAAATAAATCAAATGATATTGTAGAAATTGTTTGATTGATTTCTTCTTTTCTTGTTATTGTTACAAAATTCTTTCAAAGTAAAGAGAAGAAGACATTTAACCTTGGCTGTTTTTGAAATGAAATGCTCTGTGAGCTACTTTTTAAATGGTTGATTTTGATTATTTCTTCTTTCCCTGAAGCCTTTTCCTTTCCACATACTCAAAAAATCAAAATTTTGAAAGTGAATACAGCAAGAAGCTCGTTGCTAATGACACTTTTTTTTTCGATCGTTTAAACTGTCATAGCGCAGTTTTATTTTAACTGCTTGCCTTTTATTAAAGTTTCAAATTTTTCTAATGAAATCATTGTATAATATTGGTTTACTTAAAGTTATATTAAAAAGAAAACGAATTTTCAAAGTAATTAATAAAGACTTTTAATAAGCTCACAATGCTCTTAGAATCCTTTTACAACAGCCATTTCTATTTCAAACTATTTCGATCTTGAACTCAAGTAAATTTCGAATATTCATTTTATAGACATTAAATCTATTATGCTCTCATAAAATAAAGAATTGAATAGTATCAAGACAAAACTTAATCGACTGAAACAGACGTTGCTTATAAGTGTTTTTCTTCGTTAAAAAAGTGCTTCAATTTGTTTATTTTTGTTGAGGTGAACAGCTTTTTAAGCAATAGTTTCACAGTTTAAACATAAACATAAAAAACTCAACAGATTGACCTATCATTGGGAAAAAAGTTAATCGAATTCTACTGATAGTGGAGTTATACAAAATACTATTTGATTTAGAGGAACTTCAGTGACATCCTCTAGAGATTGAATTTGCTTCATCTAGCTCAAATACACTTGTAAGAACCAAGGTGATGTTAGTGCTTAGGATCTCTTATTCTGTTACACTGTTTCTTCTTGCAATTTCTATTCGAACGCGATTATATAACATAATCTATACTTTTTTATTACGCAATTAAAAGACCAATTTATTAAAAAAATGTTCAAACTAATGCGTCTATGCATAATCGAAATTCTCTGTCACTTATCTACAAACAAAAACAAAAATCCTTTTTAGAAAAACAGAAGCAATTTTCGTTTTGAATACTTTAAGAATAAAAAACAATTGGTTAATAAATGTCCCAAGCAAACTGTGGATGTGGGTGGAAGTGTTTTTCTATCCACACATCCACAGTGACACCCTTGTTAGAGTATCTTTACAAAAGCTGTGAAAACATATGTAGAGGAAGCTATGTCTTTCAGTTGTGACTGGAATTTTTTAGATGTAGAGATAATATCATGTGCGTGGACAACCATATTTACGGATCAACTCAAGTGCCTTTTGATTAAATACAGCACGGTTTTCTCTGTATTCTATGCCAGCTTCAATGTTGATAACATGATCCAGATCAGGATTGCTAATCAAACTTTCTACAGCTTTGATGATATCACACAGTGACAATGTGACGTTATAACGTTCGTATTCGTTCAGCAATCCAAGACAAATTTTGCCACGCTTGTCAATGTTTGGATGGTAGATAGGGTCCAACAAGTTTAAAGTGGGAGGTTTGAAGGGATACGACCTTGGTAGTGTGAACCTGACGCGAAACGAACGTTGACAGAAAGGTTCCGATATTGGCAAAATACGACCCTCAATGATAAATTCATCTAATGAAAATGATGATGCTTTTTCTGAGCCCATCGGAGATATAGAAGTATCAGATGTCGGATCGATATCGAGGATAAAGATACTTTTAGCTTCATTCTTCAACCGTGATATTTCAGTGTAGACACGCTTGGATGGCTGAGGCATTTGTCTCGCAGCCGATTTAGGTGTGGTTGTGATGACTGAATCAGATTCTAAATAAAAAAGCAACACTTTCAATGCAAAAGACGCTAAAGTTAACGATTTCTTCAATTGAGTGGTGAATATATTGTATGTGCACATATATAAACTGTTTTTTTGATACCAAGTGAAATGATCAAAAAATTTTGTTAAAATCTGAAAACTTGTAGTGAAAATTAAAACTAAACTAGAGGTGCATGATAGAGAATACATATGAAAACGTTGGGTGAACATTAGATATTGAAATTACAGCATTTAATTTATTGTAACATTAAGAATATACATTTTCAAGTGTGTATCAGCAGAACAGAATACACGATTGTAGATGACATGGTCTGTTTCAGATCTCATGAAGATTGATATAGTGAGTATTATTTTTAACGGATACAAAAACCAAAACTTGTTTTACAATGAGCCAGATGAAATAATATTTAGATAGATTGCAAGTAGAATTCGCTCAATGGCATCTGATAAATAATATATACAACAAGTGGTATTAAATTTCAAAAACATACTATAAACGAAAATGCACCTGGATAAATTTACTCTTCAGTCGCGATACAGTTATCTTTTGCACGAACAGTGCGAAAGCAAACAATCCAGGAAAACTCTGAAGTTTTCTCTTAGGACTACATTTAATTACTAGTATTGATATATTGCATTAGGAACTTGAACAAGTTTTTATAAATTTCACAAAAATTCAGCGTGCATTCTATGAGAGTTGTTGAGGGACAAAAATTTTTCAAATATTTCAGCGATACAAGAGACTTTCTAAACATACCTTTCATCTTTTGTTTTTGTTATAATTAAGAAGCAATCAAAATGGAAAAAGAGACACGAACCTAATGTTATTGAAAACTTCAACGCTTTCATCAATTCACGACAGCAAAACTTGTAGAAAACGTGATGTAAAAGTCAAATTCATCGAGTTTTATATGTTATTGACTGCTACACATTTTGGCAATAAAGAAATATTGGGATATATGATTTATGCAAAAATAATTTGAGCATTAATAACCAGTAATTTGTGAATCAATTCTCATTCTTAATCAGAAAACATTTTCAGATACTAGGTATCACCTGGTTTTGAATTTTGATGTGAATAGATCTTTGCGAGATAAAGAACAGTGACAAACAATTGAGGACATGAACTTCCTAGATTTATATATGATACCTTTCATATGATAAATATTATTTCAAGTTTTTTTCTTAATGCTGACACATACGAGTCGAATGTTTCCAGTACACATTCTTTATTATAGCATTAATAAATTGGTATTATCTTTCTCAGAATGTTCAATGAATTTCAATATAAGTCAATTCCAGTTCTAAATTGTTGTGATACGATGAAAGAAAAACATCTCCTCCAGATTCTCGTGAGTAGAATTTTTCCAAAATCGTGAGACGTGTTTCGATAAAAGTACCCAAAGATTTGAACTAATTTTTCTAAATTAGTAGTTTCCTCAATATTTGAAGAATGGTAAGAGCATTTTATTTTTGGTGGCATTCACATATACTTTGGAAGGAAATAGCGAGCGTAATTTTCAAGTCGAAACATTGCACCTCTTCAATTCCCATTATAGACCTTAGGAATTATGTTCGTCATTGTTTGTTTTTTTTGTCTCAACCGAAGGCAACAGGCATTTGACTCCTTTTCCACAGTTCTCTAGTAACCGAAACAGACACTAAACACTGTTAATAACAAGACGTAGGCTGCTCTAAAGGACTTTAGAACAGGTAAAAACTTTCCCAAAAACTTGAATGGCTGGAATATGTGTGTACATGTTCTAAATAGTGCATTTTTTTATTTTCGTACAGAAGAAATATTCATATTTCAGATGTCAAGACCAATGAGCAGTAATGTGTTTATTTGTCACTTTAGTCATATGATCAACATGAAGCACGTTAACTGATCAACCTATGGTATTCGAAAATAATCAATGCCTCTGTCTGTGAGCTTATCTAGATATATTATAGTGCGTTGAGACCTATTGTAAATACAATGTATATTCAGTAGGCTTATTTTTTGTTGGAATTATTATCTTGAATAAGAAAAATATGAAATTAAGAAAAATAGAATGAGAAAAAATGCAAGTAGCGAATAGAGATATGGCAACAAAAATTAAACCTCTATTTAAAAAATCCTGTTCGAGATGCAGAAAGAGATAAGATAAGTCGTTTCTCTGGTGATTTATTATCCCTGGAAAGCTACCTTGGTCTGCAAGAGATTTTTTCAATTTACGCATCTTGCATGAGTATAACTAGACTAAGGAATACATATGGGTTCCATATTTCCAACCCCAAGAGATTGTTCTAATAAGTTTTTTCTTCAGAAGTCAATGAGTGATCAAAATAATCTAAAACACCCCATTACGCTACAGGATCCTCATAGACTCTCATAATGAACTATTTAAAGGAAAAATAAGTAATAAAACAATCATTAACAGTTGAAGACACTTGTTTACTAATTCCAAATTAACATTGAAAAATATGTCCCTCAATACCCAATACTATATCGATTTACTACATGTATTTGATGAATATTACAATATTTTGATAAAGGTTTACATATTGTTCTGTTTCAGAATTAATATCTGAATCCAGAAAATGTCTCATTGCATAATAAAGAAGTCTTTTAAGATTTTATTAAAAAAATTATTTTATTTAGAGATTTAATGCATATTAATGTTTAAAAAAGACAGTACAAAATCATCAAGCATTTTTCATATCAAAGATATAAGAGAAATGCACTTATATTTTCTAGTTAAAAAATACTCTTTTATTATAATAAACACCATTCTCTATTGCTACTAGAAAATAAACAAATGTTAGGTTTTGAAAAGTAGATATTTAATGTATTTTGTTGATAAATATATTCGACTAGCTGCCTTGAAATTTCCTAAGAAAATGAATGATTACCTGTTTTGATTTTTTTAATACTTTGCGATGGAAACGACCGGTCCTGTTGTTTCGTAACATGATCATTAGTTGACGCTGGGACATCTAACGCTTCTCTACCAAGTTTAACAATATCTGTTGATGAATCCAGATTGAAAAACGCTTCATTTTCGCCCATTTGACTTCGAAAACCTTCCTTGATATCATGTTCCACTTGTTCCTCGGAGTCGCTTCTCAGTAATACGAATTCATGGATACCTTTCTGAAGAAGAAAAATTTTAATTCAGTGAGCATAGAAAGAAGTTAAATAGTTAAGTTACTTTATAATTTTTTTCTTCAATACGAAACACAGTCCCAATCGATATTAAAACTTCATCATCTGTCCTCACTTGACTATGATAGCGAATAAAGACAAATGGTTTTGTTTCGCTTCGTTGTTTGTTAATTCTCAAATGTAATATAGCTGGAACAATGTTAGGATCTGATGTGCCAATTCCAGAATACACAGCAGCAACGTCTTTTTCAGTCGTAGTTGACAAAAAAGATTTTGTAACAACCAAATCTCCAATGCTTTCTTGCAATTTCTTGAATTCTGCCGTAGACATGGGTCGTCGCCTATAGACATCTATGTGTTCTTGATACCACTCGAGTTGCTCTTCGTGTAAGTCTTTCAATTGAGTGTAAAGATCAGTCATATAAAAGGAGAGTCTAAACATATCTTTTAAATTGCCCAATCGACAAGTGCGATTCAGAAGTCTATGAAGACAAGACGTCGAAGTATACAATGAAATTGCTTGATCTGATTTATAATTTTGGATAAACTCCTTAAAAATCGTCTGTTGGGATGAATTATTGTTTGTACTTTCCATGCAAAAAGACTCGAACTGTTCTTTGATTTCATTTGTTTTGGGAAGATGAAGTAGAACTTCTATTATAAATTGATAGAAGATAAATATCCGAGCATAATCTAATTCTTGTATTGATTTTGCTGTTGAATTTAATTTCAGAGGCGCAAAGTCAGTATCATTATCTTCGTCATTGCTAGACCACGAATCTTTGTTAAGGCGATTATATAATTCATGTATACTTGTAATTTCGACAAGTTTTGAATTTTCTTTTTTTAATATAGCTTCTTTACCAAAAACATAAATATATTCAAGATGAGGCAATGCAAGAAAGTCGTTCAAGAGCTGATCATCAATTGCATGTGACAGTACCAAAAATGCTCGCCTTTCGGTAATAGATCTTAAATAGTCGAGGCATTTTTTGCCATCATTAAACGTGAAAACTTGGTGAACAGTGTGCAAAAGACCAATACTAACATCAAAAGCACTATTATCATCTTTCATTGCTTTATCGAGCCAAGCAAGTATGTATTCGCGAAGATAGTCTTCAGCATCCTTCATTTCCTTACATGTAATAGCTGTTATGTATGTACTAGCTTCACTTGAGTCTGTATTGACTGAAGTAGCCATCTTCAGATTCAATCTAAAGACTATATCTGGTCGAAAAATTTATATGAAGCGTCGTTGATCCGTTGTATGTAAGAGGATCTAGGGTAGGAAGGGGGTGGGTGTGGGTGTGGGTGGGTGATCTTATCATACATACCCACACCCACACCCACACCCACATCCACACCCACACCCACCCACACCCACCCACACCCACACCCACACCCTACCCCACACCCTTTCATCAATTGCTCAGTATGCTACTAGCCAAAGAACTTCATATGGAAACAATA